GACCTTATCATTTCCAGTGTAGATCAAATCATCTACATATAAGCATACAATAACAAGTCTTCCTCCATCTCCAATTTTTGTAAAAAGTGTATGCTCATATGGACATATTTGAAAACCTTCCTTTAAAAAATAAGCTTCTATACGACTATACCAAACTCTGGGAGCTTGTTTTAGTCCATATAGAGCCTTTTTTAATTTATATACCTTATGCTCATTTCCAAGCTTCACATAACCAGGAGGTTGATCAATAAATACCTCTTCTTGCAAGTCTCCATGTAAAAAGGCTGATTTCACGTCCAACTGGAGGATAGGCCATGAGTTTTGTGCTGCCAATGCTAACACCAATCGGATTGTATCATGTCTTGCAACAGGAGCAAAAACTTCATTGTAATCGATGCCAAATTCTTGCTTATAGCCTTTAGCTACTAAGCGCGCTTTATATTTATTTACCTCGCCATTCTCCTTCAACTTTGTTCTGTAAACCCACTTGACTCCAATTGTTTTTTTTCCTTTAGGAATATCTGTCAATTCCCAAGTATTGTTCCTCTCAATGGCTGCAATTTCATCATCCATGGCCTTTTGCCATTTTAATTCTTTAACAGCATCGTTAAAGGCTATAGGATCACAATCTGAAAATAGAGCAAAATGTGTGAGTGGATCATCAGATTGGTCAAGTGCACTTACTTCATAATCAGCCATCCATGCTGGTCTTGTCCTAGTGCGTTGAGGACGTGTACTGGTCACTATATCTGGCTGTACACTTGATGATTCAACAATGTCAACTGCTGGTGTATTTTGAGATACTGTCGACTCAGACTCTGGTGAGTGTTGCTTATTTGCCTCAAGTTGCTGCCTTCTCTCTTCATCTTCATTATAAAAATTTGCTGAAATTTGATGTCCAGTGCCATTATCACCCCATGACCAAGTGTTTTCTTCATCAAAAACAGCATCACGAGTGATTACAATTCTCTTGGTGATAGGATTGTACAATTTGTAAGCTTTGGACTGATCACTAACACCAAGAAAAATGAATTTTTCTGCTTTGTCATCTAGTTTTCTCCTCTTCTCATCGGAGATGTGGGCATATGCAATACACCCAAAGATTCGAAAATGATCAACTGCTGGTCTTCGTCCATTCCATGCTTCTTCAGGTGTCACATTTTGAACAGCCAGTGTGGGACTTCTGTTCAATATGTGAATGCTCCAATTCACTACTTCAGGCCAAAATTTTTTTGAAACTCCACTCCTCTGCAAAAGGCTACGCACCATATTTAAAATTGTGCGATTTTTTCTCTCGCACACACCGTTTTGCTGAGGTGTGTAGGCTGTTGTGAGTTGTCTTTTAATGCCATGCATCTCACAAAAGTATACAAAGTCTTGTGAGTTATATTCTCCGCCACGATCAGTGCGAAGAACTTTTATCGGGCTGCCAACTTCTTTCTCAACAAGCACTTTATAATTTTTAAATGCCGCGAAAGCTTCAGATTTCTCCTGTAACAAATAAACCCACGTTTTCCGACTATAATCATCAATGAACGTAATGAAGTATCGTTTACCTCCATTAGATGTCGGATTTATGGGACCACAAAGATCGGAATGAACTAGTTCCAATGCCTTCTTTACTCTCCAAGAATTCATTTTTGGAAATGAATCACGATGGTGTTTGCTAATAACACATTCTTCACAAACTGACGAAGGATATTGAATTTGAGGAAGGCCCGTCACCATAATTTTCTACTGTAGAGTCTTCAAGCCATTGAAATTCAGGTGTCCATAGCGGAAATGCCACAACCATGTTGAATCATGCATTTTTACAGAGAGGCAGGTCTGAACCTTGTTCTGAGTGTGTAATGGAAACATCCGATTTGTTGTCATGTGAACTTGTGCGATTAGGCCCTTCTCTGGATGTTGAATTTGGCAGCATCCACCTTGAATGTTTATTGTAAAGCCCTTCTCTTGTAACTAGCCCAGGCTAATGAGGTTACTCTTTAAGTCTAGAATATAAAAAACACTAGAAATTATCTGTAAAGTGTTATTTCTAGTTTGAATTTTGACAGTCCCTTTTCCCATGACAAAAATGTTAGAATTGTTTCCAAGTTTCATAGTTTCTCTGAAAGTTTCATCCAAATCTGAAAATAGAGACTTATTACCACACATGTGATTATTGCAGCCTGAGTCCAGATACCACGTATCTGATTGAGACCCCTTCTTGTCAATGTATGCCATTAAGAGCATTTTTTCTTCTGTCTCAGCAAAGTTTGTCTTCTCCTCATTTTCAGTGCATTCATACTGATAATGACCAAGCTTGTGACAGCGGTAGCATTCAATATTGGACTTGTCAAACTGCGACCCTTGATTGGATGAAAATTGATTATCACGGCCACGTCCTCTGCCTCTTCCTCGACCCCAACCTCGACCTCTTCCTGATCCCCGCCATGTAGATGATTCACCATGGGTCGTAACCTGCAAAGCACGTTCCTCTGGAAGGTGGCTGGTCATTCTCTGTTCATGCACCAACAATGAACTTTGCATCTCATCAATTGAAAGATTATCAATGTCTTTCGATTCCTCAATGGAACAGACAACATAATCGAATTTTGGGTCATTGATCGAAGGATTTTCTCAATGATTGTAACATCATCCATTCTTTCACCATGAATACGCATCTTGTTAGCTACTGTTAGCGTGCGTGCAAAATAATCATTGACTGACTCTCCCTCTTTCATATGAAGAATCTCAAACTCTTTACGAAGAGCTTGAAGTTACGCTCGTTTCACCCTTGCTGTACCTTGATATTTTTTCTTCAAGGAATCCGAAATTTGTTTAGAGGTGTCCTTTTGGAGAATGGTTTCCAAAATGGCCCGATCAATCGCCTGGAACAAATAATTCTTTGTCTTGAGGTCCTTCAGTCTTTGGTCTTCCAGCGTCTTTCTCTGTGCTTCTGTCATGACAACTCCACTTGTTGGTTCAACAAAACCAGTTTCCACGAGACTCCAGTATTCCTTGGATCTTAGAAAGTTTTCCATCAGCATGCTCCAATGGTCATAATGACCATCAAAGCGAGGAATGACAGGTTGCACGTAATTGGTGTTGTCGAAAGCCATGGAACCTTGCTGTTGCAATAATTTCTGAGCAGGCCCAGTGGGGGCTTGGTCATTTGAGCCACTTTTGAGTCACAAAATTTGAGTTACGTAGCATTGTCGTTATATATATATACATGTTTTATTATTATTATTATTTTTGGAGTTGTGGTGGATCTAAAAATCTGAGATATGTGTTTATATATATATATATATAAATAAATATGTTTATACGGACATAAAATAGGTGACTTCCTCTTTATAAATTTGCTCTGGTATTATTATTATTGTTTTTGTTAATAATGATGATGATGATTTGCAACCCATGGAGACACACACGGAGAGAGACAGAACAGGTTACTCCATGACTAACAACCACTACTAAGACTCCTACATAACTGGGATACTCCTATTGAATAGGTAAAACACCACAACTGACTCCTAAACTATAACAAACAAAGACTTATTAAAATATGACAGAAATCTCAACACAGATTAGGGGTTAGTTTGGTTATCAAATTTGGTCAAATATTTGAACAGATAAAGGAAACAAAATAAATAGATAATCAAAAATTTTGAATAATAAATTTGGACAGATAGAATTTTATTTGGATAAATATTTAAACAAATAAGGAGAATTTGAATTAAAAAGTTTAAAAAATTAAATAGATAGGGGTAAAAAAATTGAACATATAGGAAAAAAAATTAAACAGATAGGGAAAAATTTAAACAGATATATATATTTTTTATATATAGATACTCAACAAAAGTCAATAGATAAATTTAAAAGTAATATTAGAACAAAATGTCCTTTAAAACAAATAAATTTTTTTTTATCAAACTATTTCACAGAGGGTGGATCCTCTCACTAAAAAAAAATCCATTGTACTTAGGGTTTGTTTGGAGTGTCCTAAGTAAGTGCACTTTTTATCTTTTTAGACTAAAAAGTAGAGGGAAAAAATATGGATGTTTGTGTTAACTTTTTGACTTTTTATGGAAAAATATATATTAAAAAATTGTATAGGAGAATAAAGTAATGGTGTAGGCCTACGGTTGTAAAATTGAAAATTGTGCAGCCGTACTTTTTGACTTTTGGTGAATAGTGATAACTTTTTAACTTTTTGAATAATTTTTTGACTTTTTAACTTTTTTTTTAACTTGCTAAACTTGACCTTAATAGCTTATATCATTCTTAACTTAGATTTTTCAACAATTATCTCAATATAGAATGACATGATGTAAGTAGAGAGAATCACATTCCAATAAAACATAAATTGTTTTTATACAAACATGGCGTACACCCCCGCACCTTTTTCACCGTGTCTCCTTATAAAATCACTTATACCTTATATATTTTTATAAATTTTTTTTCATCCCAATATGTTGTAATTTCCTCGGTAAGTTTTGCAAACAAAATTTATAGGAACGCTAGTACTTGCCTCCACTCTATCATCTAAATTAGAGGGTCTAATCTAGTTTATTGGGCTTATTTTTAAGTTTATTTATGATAATTCGAATCGTTCATATTTTAAGATTTATTAAATATATTATTCCTGTAAAAAATCACGTCAATCGGATAACGGATATTATATATTTGGATAACTTTTTTATGAACCGTTAATTTTTTAACCGTTAATTTTTTTCTAAAAAAAATTGATCCGAATATATAGTATTCGTTATTCATCGACGTAATTTTTTCAAGAATAATATATTTAATAAATTTTAAAATATAAACAATTTTAATTATTAAAAAAAAAAACCTTAAAATAGACCCAATAAGCCGAGGACCATCCCATAACTAGACTGGAGACAGTCCGGTCCTTATAGGAAAACGAAAACAGAATTTTGTTATTAAAGGAAAACGACGACGCCGAAGTGGATAATAATAAAGACAAATAAAACAAAAAGACAATAAAAAAAAAAAGTTTGAAACTTGCGTTAGAATAGAGTGAGTGAAACTAACATCCCCATTCACCACCCCCCGAGGAGAGAGAGAAATGCTGTAACTGAAGCAGTTCAACACGCAAAACCAATTAGTGTTTGTTTCGCGAGAAAATTCCCCATTCGGATCCACTCTATTCAAACGCTTCATCGATCTGGCAGAGCGTGGGCGCCAGAGTAAATCGCTGTTTCGGTGATCTTCTGAGTCGAAATCGTTCACTCCCACTCTCAATCCCAACTCCATTGTTTCTTTTCGTGATCTCTCTCTCTTTCTCACGTACTCTCCTCCTAACCGAACCCCATCCAAGCCCTCATCACACAACCACCCTTTCGTTCTGTAAGTTTTTACTTCTCTGTTTGTGTGTGTAAAATTTGTACTTAATTTATACTCGAAAATAATTCTTTTGGATAAATTGACGATCTGTAAATTCTAATTCTTGTTTAGTTTCACTGTAATTTATAGATTCTTGATAGTTATGAAATGTGTAATGCTAGATCCTATAGTTTTATCAATTTTTTTATCAAATGTGGGTCTCACCACACCATGTGAGACAAATTTTTTACCAAATAACTCACATGGTGGTCCCACCACATCTCGTGAGATATTTGGTAAAAAATTCGATAAGACTTTTGGGGTAGCCTAAAATGCCCTTTCACATTTTCCATCCAAATTAATAGGAAGTGAATTACAGGCATTTATATTTTCAAATGCTCAAATGACCATGGTCATGTGCACATAATCTAGTAAGTGTCGTTTTTGGTAGGAAGAATATAAGGTTATTTATGTCAATTTATATTTGTCATCAACGAAAGCTAGTGGAGCGTTTTAGTTCACAAGCCACAATAGGTTGAGTGATTATTTTCAAATGACGGGTTATGTGCACATGACTTACACTATGTTTATCCTAAAAAAATATGGAGACTTTTTTACATACACATGAAGGGTTTACTTGTTACTAATTGTTGAATATTGGCTTAGATTCTCCATGTGAATGGAAGCCATGAAAGCCAAATAAGGCTGCAAAATGAAGAAAAGAATGGATGTGGTGGAAAGCTATTTGTTGTAGGGTGGTTGTATAGAGTGTCTGCCGTTAATGTTGATGGTGGCTGGTCAATGGCTGAGTTGATTTTTTGGCTCTCCCATTTGTGTATTAATGGAGAGCATTGGAATGCAAGGGTGGTAGAGAGAGAGAGAGAGAGACAGAGACAGAGACAGAGAATGCAAGAGCGGTAAAGCGAGAAAAGAAGTAGAGATGTATATAGAGAGAGAGAGATGTGAGGCTGGGAGTTGAGTTGAGTTGAGAGAGAGTCTTGCCTCCTCCTCTAGATCACAATTCCTCCATTATTTGTATTCTTTTGTAATCTATCTAAATATAGTGAAATCTTGCTGCTCCATGGACGTAGTTGCATTGCCGAATCACGTAAACCTTGTGTCTCTCCATTGTGTGTGTTTGATGGTGCTCATTTCTGGCCTCTGGGCACAACACTAAGGGCTGGTTTGGGGTACACTATATAATCCATCTTTTTATCTTTTTATCTTTTTTCCATCACATCACCTCTCTACTTTTCTGCACATCTTTTCGTAAAAAGACAAAAAGTGCACTTTTTTAGGACACCCCAAACCAACCCTAATATAGTCTAGCCTCTCTTTTCTTCTTTAGATCCATGTTTCACTCCATAGTTTCAATGCATAGGAAATGAATGCATTTCCATACTATTCAATCTTAAATAAGTGAAATAGACATAATCATGGTTATGGTTTATCTATTTCACTTGTTCTATTGGATCTTACGGAGCCTATCATACATGGGTAAAATGAAATTTTCCCTAACAATAATAACAGTAAGGAAGGGATTGAATTATGATATTGATTTTATTGGGGTGGTGGTATAGATGTAGATGATGAGTTTAGTATGGCCAGTGGAAAAGGAGTTTATGCCTTGACAAAAAGGAAATTTCCTTGAAATACATGTCATTGCCAGCTTGGATTTCATGATCAAAATTCAGACTACTTGTATTTATCTGATGATTATATTTCAGGGATTGAGAATAGCCAAAAAAAAAAAAAAAAAAACGGAAAAAAAGAAAAGCAATTAGAGCAAAGGATGCTCATTTTGATAAGTTTGGCTTAGCTTGTGATTTGTATTGTAAGTTGCAATTCACTTGTAAAAGGTTTTGGGAACCGTTGAAGGGATATTAGTGAATCAGTGTGTCATGTGACTATGTGAGGAGATAGCAGTAACATTCCTAGTTAGGACTTCCATTTACAATATATATATCAAGAAATTGCAGATGCAACTAGTTTATTATATATATATATATTTTTTAATGTCATAACATTTGACAAGGAGTTTTAAAGGGCGTGTTAGGTACAATAAATCAGTGGTTCTATACTTGCGCTCTGTACTTGCCATGCACAAGTACAACACGTGATGCACTTGCTTTTAGTATACTAAAATTTAAGCTGACTACTGTTAAATGAGTAAATAGAATAAACATCGTCAAAAGTTTACTAGTGGGTTCTTTTTTTGGGTGGGGGGTTGTGCACAAATTCTCCTCCCCCTTCTTCAGATCTGAAAACTGAGTTTTTAAAATTGAAAATCTAGAAGAAGTAGCAATACTTTTACTTCATATGATGGCATTTTACAAATTTGCTGCAAAAGGTGATGAGACTGGTGAGTTATTGTTCGGCATTTTAAGGATCAAAACGATTAAATTTTGATTCATTAGTTAAGTCACAATGTCGTGAGACTTTTTAATGTGACTGCAGGTTGTTGTGTGCCTAATTTGTTTTCATCATATGGTTCCTGTAGGATTCATGAAAACCTAATCACTGCAACTAGTTCTGTGCATGCAATGCATAGAAATTGAGTTAGTCTGACTTATTTCTTGTAAGAACTCAACTGTACCATGTAAAGACAGCAAGCAAGTATCTTCACATATTTATTCATCAAAACTCTGGGGATGAAATATTACTTGCCACACCAGTTGTAAACTTGCGCAGATATGGTGTTTAGTAGAATTGCGGGAATTGTGTCAGCTGCAGCAACTCGTTTGTCAGCCCCAAAGTCTTCAGCCTTGCCATATGTATCATCTGGATTGTCACCTCCAACAAATTCTGTTCATGGTTATGGTTTTGCTAACTCCGGACTGAAAAATAATCTGCGACTCTCTTCTTCTCTCCAAGATTTCTCCGTGTACCGCCGATTGGATCCAGAACGAGGTGATTTTAACTCTGGAATTGATGCGAGTTTGATCTGTGCAAAACAGCCTCATGTCTTGCAGAGAGGAAATTCTGGGTCAAGTTTTTATAAGAAGGCATCACCTGGAATTCCTCTTGCACAAAAGAAGTGGATGCGTGTGATCATGGTTCTACTGTGCCTACTGCTATTTGCTATTCTTATATATGTGTTACAGTTCTATTATTTCAAGTGGTCTCAAGGAACATCCAAGTTCTACGTTGTACTTGACTGTGGTAGCACTGGGACCCGGGTTTACGTATATCAGGCATCCCTGAATCACAAGAAAGACGGCAGTCTCCCTATTCTATTGAGATCATTACCAGAGGGTCTTCGGAGAAAACGTAGTTCACAAAGTGGGCGTGCTTACAACAGAAGGGAGACTGAACCAGGGTTTGACAAATTGGTGCACAATGTATCTGGCTTAAGGGGTGCAATAAAACCACTTATTCAGTGGGCAGAGAAGCAAATCCCCAAGCATGCACATAAGACCACTTCTCTATTCCTTCAAGCTACAGCAGGTGTTCGCAAGTTGCCAACTTCAGACTCGCAATGGCTTCTTAAAAATGCTTGGTCCATTTTGAACAGTTCACCCTTCTTGTGTCAAAAATATTGGATTAAGATTATCAGTGGCATGGAGGAAGCATATTATGGATGGGTAGCTTTGAACTATCACACTGGTGTCTTGGGGGCTATCCCCAAAAAAGCAACATTTGGTTCACTTGACTTAGGTGGCTCATCCTTGCAAGTTACTTTTGAGAGCAAGGAAAAAGTGCATAGTGAAACTAGTTTAAAGCTGAGCATTGGTCCTGTTAACCATCATCTCAGTGCCTATTCACTTTCAGGCTATGGTTTGAATGATGCTTTTGACAAGTCTGTGTTTTATCTTCTGAAAAGGCTTCCCAAAATTAATAATGCAGATCTAGTTAGTGGAAACATTGAAATTAAGCACCCTTGCCTGCAATCTGGTTACAAAGAGCAATATGATTGTTCTCAATGTGCTTCTTCTATTTACCAAGGTGGGAATCCTCCGAGTGGAGGAAAATTTTTGGGTAAAGGTGGAAAGCTCAAAATTCCAATCCGGGTTATTGGTGCACCAAAATGGGAAGAGTGCAAGGCACTTGCAAAAGTTGCTGTCAATTTGTCTGAATGGTCAGATCTAAATCCAGGAATTGATTGCGAATTGCAGCCTTGTGCTCTTGCAAATAATCTGCCTCGTCCTTATGGCCAATTTTATGCAATGTCTGGTTTTTTTGTGGTGTATCGCTTTTTTAACTTGAGTTCCGATGCCACACTTGATGATGTGTTAGAGAAGGGTCAGGAGTTTTGCAATAAAATTTGGGACATTGCAAAGAACAGTGTTGCTCCTCAGCCCTTTATAGAACAATACTGCTTCAGGGCACCATACATTGTGTTTCTATTGAGAGAGGGCTTGCACATTTCTGATAGCCGAGTAATTATTGGTTCTGGAAGTATTACTTGGACCCTTGGGGTTGCCCTATTGGAAGCTGGGAAGGCATTTTCTACCAGACCAGAGCGTAATGGTTATGAAATACTCCAGTTGAAGATTAAGCCAGTCATTCTTTCTGCTATATTGTTTGCTTCGCTTTTTTTCCTAATTTGTGCATTATCATGTGTTGGAAGTTGGATGCCTAGATTTTTTCGTAGTCCATATCTCCCCGTCTTTGGGCTTAACAATGCATCATCTACATCTGTTCTCAACATTCCAACTCCTTTTCGGTTTCAGCGTTCAGGTAAATTCTTCTACATGACCATTATGGAAATTTTACTGTTGTAACATATTTGTCATTCAATGAAATCACTATCTGGTTTTGCTTGTATTTTTTGTGCTAGTTATCTATGTTACACGGACTCGGGTACAAGTGTTGGGTGTGGGTACTTATCTAGAGGTTGGATCCATCAAATCTCAAATTTAAGGGTATGCGGACTCGACAAAAAAGGGTCACATTTTTATATATTTAATCTATTATGTGAGATATAGTGGTGTTAAATATAATATATTATGTCAAAAAGACATTTTACTTTTGTACAATTGTATAACAATATATACACATAATGATAGTGTTAATTTAATACAAATATGTAAGAATTACTGAACACATATTCCACACTTTTGTCAAAGTCTCAAGTGTCTGACATTGGTATTGATTTATTTTGAAGTCCATGTAACATAGCTAGTTATCGTTGTGAAATTATCTCTCTCATTTTTACAAGGAAACAATATCATGTTCCAACTTTCTGACACTTTCAGATTTCCTTATGAAGGAATTTCCTCATTCCAGACAAAAATATCATATGACTGGTCCAAAGTTTGTATTAGTAGTGGTAACAATAAACAATGTAAAGGTAACATCCAACCAAGAAGCCAGACCTGGACCTAAGTGTTTAGTTATTGAAATCGTCCTGCACATCAAGATTTGTGGATTACAACATTTTATTTGATCATGAATATTAAACTAGACAGCTAAACTTGTCTCATTTCAAATGATTTCTCTTTAGTAAATGGCACGTTTTAGCGTACATAATGTTTTGGATACTGTTGATTTCTGAGCCAGATTGTTAATTAATGCATACAGGGAGAAGTTAATCCGCAAACAGAACTTAGTTTTTATTTTACTTGATGATTATGAAAGCTTGGGTAGCTCGCCAAAAGAAGCTTCTTGGGTGATTGGAACCATGACTCCTGAGAATAAAAATTAAATTAGGCAGGGCACAGTAATTTGAGGCCCTTTTTAACCTCATGTATTATACCACTACCACCTCACCTACTCCACTAAACCTAACCCACTACACCACTACCACCTCCACTTCACCTACTCCTTACCTACTACCTTCTTCTCTTCTATATATATGAATCAATGTAAACATAACATTATATCAATCAATAATACATAAATTCTTACAAAATGCATCACTTTCAGTCCCTCCAAAAGGGGGGCATTTGTACGATTTTTATAGTTGAGGGGGTCAAAATGTACAGGTTCATAAATGAGGCGGGTAAGGTGATATTTGTTAATAATTGAGGGAGCCTTGATGTAAATAAACCATCAATAAATAAATAGCGAAAAAAAAAAGGATAAGAAAGGAAGAAGAAAAAAAAAATGAAGGTTGCGTTTGGTAGAGCTTTCTAATTATGATTTGAGAGTAGGAGTTATATTTTGAGTTTGTGAGTTTTGGAATTATGATTTGAGTGTGGAAAATTTGTTTGGTAAAAGAGTTTTGAAAAGAGTTTTGAATTGAGTTGGGAATTTTTGATATGACATATGATATAAAACTTACAACTCATAACCAAACATACAACTCAAAATTCTATTAAAGCACATAAATTTTTTTTAAAAATTCGGAAAATATTTTTTTTGAATATACAAAAATTAACGTATATCAATTGCAAAAAAAATAAAAATAAAAAATAAAAAAATGCATTGTTCCGGTCAACCAGCCGGACGACCGGTTAGGCCAAATTTCAAATTTTTTTTTTTTTTGAAAATCGCGCCTCACACAGAGTTTTCTGCAGAGTTGTGAAAATTTAATTCCAAATACCTGTGCAAACATCATATTGAAATGTGGGGGTAGAATCACAGTTTGGAAATCGTTTCATACACAGCCGAAAAGTCTTTGAAATTGCAATGTATGATGAGCTTATTCTCTCTCCTATACCATCTTTTTTCCTGGGGTTATTTACGTTCTGCTTTCATATGATATTCGATGATTCAGGGGATGGAAAAGTAAAGACACCACTAAGTCCAACAACCACAGGCGCCCAACAAAGACCATTTGACAGTGGAAATGGTTTCAGCAGCAGCAGCAGCAGCAGCAGCATCCAGCTCAGTGAGTCTACCTTGTACCCAGCAACTAGCAGTGTCATACATAGTTATTCCTCAGGTAGCTTGGGGCAGTTGCAATTTGACAATAGTGGCACGGCTGCTTCCTTCCGGACCCCTCATGGAAGTCAAATGCGTCTTCAAAGCAGGAGATCACAGTCTCGAGAAGACCTCAATTCTTCTCTTGCTGAAGCACACTTGGCAAAGGTTTTAAGCTCCTGAAGAAGTTTTGGTACATTAACCTAATTCATCTTCAAATTACATCTTACATAGAAAAAAGTTAGTTCTATTATTTTTTACCATATAGATAGAACTCTTTTTGGCTACACCATAGCTTTACACTTGGAAGTTGTATCTTTGATTTAAATTTTGTCTCATGTAATTTTTTTAACAAATCTCCCAAGTATATTACTAACTGTTCCATATAGAAAATTCAAATTATGATATTAGACGAAATTTTCTCATGATTCAACAACCTAAAATGCTCTTAAATGTAGGAAGAAATTTATTTTGTCTGGTATAGTGAAGGAATTATAAAGAATGTACAATTGTGGAACACACCAATCCTGTCTTCAGTTCTCATCAACATTGGTGTATCCGTTGCATCTAGTTTTTTTTGTTTGTTTGTTTTTTGTGAAGTCTGAATTTAAGGATTATGCTTTCGACATTTATTGTGTCAAATGAAATTTGAATTGTTTCTTCAGATAGATAAAATTTCATACAGGACTTGCACGCATCCAATTATGATGATGGCTCTACACATTACCGGTGTTTCAAATTTATTTGTCAAGGAGAAAGGTTCTGGGACCAATGTTGTGGTTTTTATTTTATTTTATAGTAGAATCCAAATCCAGGGAAAGACATTCATCTACTTTGCAAAGTGGGTTCCCTACAAAATACTCAGCAGAGCTTTCATTTGTCAAATCCCAAGTCTGCCCTCTGCTGGCATATTTCATGTGCTTGTGAAGCTGTTCCTTGTATTGAAGGACATGTCGAAGCCCTAACACCATGACCAACCAATCCGACAGGCCTGAGTGATGGTTTCATCTTGAGAAGAAACTGTCTGATCTGACTTCAGCTGATCTGCTGGACCTAATGAAAAGTGTTTTACTTCATTAGTCAGTAAAATGGTGAAATTAATTCCAATGGAAAGCTAATTTTTGATGGGTAATATTTGTATTTTATCCATGTCAAATCTGATTCTTGATTTATCTTTCTAGCATTATGTAATTATTTTCTAACTACTTGTAATTTTTTTTTTTTGAGTAAATTATATTAGTAGTCTCTATATTTTAGCTCTTGTGTCATTTTAGTCCTTGCCATTTCAATTTGCTCGATTTTGATCTTTAATTTATGATTTTATCTCAATTTAGTCCAATTGTTATAATTCCTAGTTTTTTTTTAGTTGAAAATACACACATGAGTAGCATCTGTTATATTTTTATAAACAAAATTATAAACTTGTTCAATTTAGTAAATTAATCTCAACAAACTCAGTAATCATTTTTAAAAAAAAATCTTAATCAGCATTATCAATTGGACTAAATTGATATAAAATATAAAATTAAGGATCAAAATCAAGTTAATTGAAATTATAGAAACCAAATTGATACAAGAGTCAAAATGTAGAAATTATCAATATAATTTATCCATTTTTTGAAATATATAATAAAGAAAAAGCATTTTTGTATACTTCTAGTTTTTTTAATTTTTTTTTTTTTTTTGAGTATCTCTAAGCAATCTGTGCGGTTAAAAATTGGGATTTTCCCAAGAGGCAGATTATGTTTCAAAGCATCAAAAAATTGCTTTGATCAGATTATTGTAAGCTCATACTATGCTCTATTGGTTGATGCTACTACGTGGAAAATGAATTAAGTCTAATGTGATGTTTCATAATTTAATTCAGCATTTAAAATTTCAGATGTATTTCGTGTACAAAAAAAATCAAATACAGAATGATGTGAGACAAAAACTGTTCACATATTTTTTTGTCTCACGTATGTACATTCTATGCAAATAGTTTTTATCTCACATTTATACATTTTGTGTTTAATTCTTTCTGTACACCTAAACTTTCTCCATTTGGATATATGGATCACTCCTTCAAGTAGTGTAACATTTAATTCTATGTAATATTCTAGGTGTGGATTTCAACAATGAATTTTGAGATTAATGGATTTGAAATAACACTGAATGTGGTTATTTAAAATCCTTCCATTCCATAAATGATTTTAGTTTTAAACAAAATACTAACAAAGTGCATATTTTCTATCTTTATGCATCTTTTACTTTAGTTGCATATCAAATCTCTCATTTCAAATTCATGTATCGAATGAAATTTTAATGTATTAAGTGAAAATCAAATGACTATTTGATAACCACAATTAATGTCACTTAAAAACTTAAGTGATTTTTAAAATGTATATACTTAATTATTCAGTAAAAATCAATTAAACCCATTTGAGTTACTATCACTTCAAAATTTAAGTAATTCCTAAAATACAAGTTAAAATTTTTTTAAAAAAAAATTAAGGCCTTGTTTGTCATTTTTTAAAAAAGTCAAAAAGTCAAAAAATAATTATCTTATTTAAGTCATATCATCTTATTTAAGTCACATCACCTCTTTACTACATCACTTCACACCCAACCCATATTTCATAAAAAATTAAAAAATACACTTACTTAGAATATGCCAAACAACCTCTTAACACAAAACTTACTTTTTACTTGCCAAAATAATAAATACTTATGCATGACCTCACCACTGCTGCCATCACACAACCACCACTAGTATCATCATCACGACATACACTGTTATCAAACTTGTTGGATATGTAAACAAAATAAATTTTGGCATAGGCAACCTAGCCAAAGTGCAATTATCCCCATATCCATTACCACCATCCGCACATCAATGATAAACAACTTCATCATTTGCTCAAAAACAGAGTGCACATTAATCATAATATATTCTACCATCTCTTAGCCTAACAATAATGGGCTACTGGGTGGCCTTCTATTATCTCCCAGTTAAGTAATTTTTAAGTGCCACCATAGGCACTAGGGAGGAAAATAAAAACCGATGCTCGGCATTTTCGGGCATTGATTGGTGTGGGCCCCATGCTGAGATGACGTGTGCAGCACACCACACGTGCAAGCAAATAACTCGGGTAGAGGAACGCTCTCACTGGTCACGCAACGCCTCAACCATTAATAACTTCCTGCGATCTAAGTGCATAATTGGAGTCCAAAACAGCCAAAGCATGTAATCCGATAATTGGATATCTGAATTAAAGGCTACTTAAAATTTAAGTCCCTGGGCAATGTGGCTACAAAATTCACAACTTCCAGGTCCCTCAAAACACACAAGAACAAGCACTTGAATGGTATATAAATATATCATATCAGATGCCCTAACAGCTAGAACTTTGAGATCAAATCTCTAAGTGAACCAGTTGTATGACCTATATAGGCTTGTAAGAAAATGGCACCCGTGCCTACATCTGAAAATCAAGCTAAGAAGCAATGCCACAAGGAAAAAAGGATGTAAGAGTTATGTGTCTGTTTTTTGAAAAACAAGCTATAGCTCTGCTTTGGCAGACCGTGTGTCATCATTGCTCCTTTGCGAGAAGAGCCAACGAAACATTTGTGACAACTTACTGGTGAAAGGGATCTGCTCTTGTTGTTCTGACTTCAAATTACAGATCGTGTTGTAGTCATGCTTTAGATGAGGAGCAACTATTCTTTCCTGAAGAAAAACAAAAAAAAGTTTCTCTACAAACAAGAGAAAAGGCAACAATTTCTCAAAGTAAATTGTGAAGTTAGGATTAAAATAACAATACCTTGAAAACTTCAAATGGACAGAAATCGGAATTATCACAACCCTATTCACAGGAACACGAAAAAAATTAAAAGGTTTGAAATATATATAGGAGAAAGGCACTGTAAGGTGTAAAAGAGCTTGCAAGGGCATTACAAGTTTCACAACAGTTAAAATATGGACATCCTATAAAAATTAACTCATAGAGAAGGTGACTTAGGAGATAAATAAGTAAATTTCACCGAGTATTAGACAGATACAGGTGTATAGTACAACATGGAACTGCAAGTGAACCATTTCTAACCAAACCATCTCCAATCCATTGAAACAATAAACTAAATAGCATCCATTGAAACAATAAACTAAGGGAAAATTACATTGACCTCCCTTCAAGATTTGGAGATTGCATTAAAACCCACAAGTTGACATAATTATATTCTATGTTACACGGACACGGGTGCCTGTGCATATTTAAGGACAGACACCTCAAAACTAAAAATGGGGGATACGTGGATATAGATTCAAATTTAGATACGGATACGGGGATATATCAAATAATTATTTCTTAAACATATATTTTATATAAACATGAGTCAAAAAGTTGACCCAACAACTTTTTTATATATAATTTATGGACCAAACATATAGATTAGCCATAACAGCCCATGATATTAAAAGATTTGTTAGCCAAAATTTTGTTAGGCCCAAATTTTTATTTTATTTATTTGGGTTCAGCCCAAATTTTTATTTATAATAAAATAGATAGAGCCTTGACAGAGAAAGAGATCAAAGTCGGTGGGATGAGAGAGAAAGAGAGCGACACAGAGAGAGGCTTACAGTGGTGCTCGTTGAAGTCGAAGGGGTGGCACTCGTCGAAGTTGACGGGGAAGTCGAAGGGATAGAGCTTGATTGGTGTGAGATCGAAGTCGTCGAAGCCGGCGACTAGAGGGATCAATGTTTTCACTCTTTTGAAGTCGGTGACCAAGTTCTCTCCTCGTTCTCTCCTCTTTCGTTTCTTTTGCATTTAGGGCAAAACAGAGCCATATCCGTTTGTAAAGAGCTGTATCCTGCACCCGTACCCGTGTCGTGTCGTGTCGTGTTGACGTGGTACCTCCCAAAATACAAAGAGTCCGTGCACCGTAGATTATATTGGGCTCCCTTAAGATTTTAATTCACGTAACACTTTATCCATTTTTATCACAAATTCGTTAGTCGTCTTGTATGGATGAAAAAATGTTGTCATCTCTTTCATACTAAAATGTATATATTACCTTGTTTATCTTTGTGTCTTCATTCCATTTGCATTAGTTTCAATCTCTTCAATTTTACTAAAAAGGAGGTTAGTGTAATTATGTCAAAATTGTGGGGCTTATTGTATTTTCTCCAAACCTCAAGAGAGGTCAGTGTAATTTACCCTAAAGATAGATAGATATTTACATATGAAGAACAAAGATCTATGTCATTTTGAAAATTAGTCAACAAAAGCTTACTGGCATTGGAACAGGACGTTCATTATGTAGAACTTGAACAAAGTACTTGCTTGAAGACTTGTCCGGACAACTATAAAGTGCCAGCATATTATTCCCAGCAAAAGCCGCCACCGTACTGCCTCTCCAATTTCTTCTATGAGGAGGCTTTGGAGGGAGTTGCAAAGGCTGTTCCTTCTGTATTTTTTCAAACTCTGAAATATTCAACAAATAATTCCTAGTGAGGACAACACGAGCACAAGTCATACAGAAGAAGTAGAAACACATTTTGGATGATCAAGATTTCCTCCAGATCGCCACCCCTCGCCCCAAAAAACAAAAAACCCTTCAAACCCCATTAAATGAAAAAAAGAAAAGAAATGCATACATGTAACCATCATATAATAGATAGAGATTCAAATATGAGAATGAAAGTATTCACCAGATCCTTCAAGAAAGAGCCCAAGCAGACATGAGAATGGAACCAGAGTCTCTGCATGAGCGAATCGCAGTCTAGCCTTTTCGTAACTGCCAGGAGCATGTTCTTCTACAGTAACAGAAGGCGTAGATTATGAACAAGTAATATATCATTTGCATCACTTTTTTATTATGTGAAACATTCATTTGCTTTCCTTTTCCTTTTGTTCCCAGCATTAGCCATGAAGACTTCCAATTAAGTTCACGAGACATTTAATTTTTCAGATGAGTTTTGAAACAGACGCAATAGCATTAATAGCAAACAACCACAACGACGGTGAAAAATCATTAACAAGATTAAAGAATTAATGAACTAATGAGACCCACTTATACGACCAGGGGCTGAATTTCCTAGAATGACATCACATAGTTTCCAGTAAGATTATGTTATTGGAGCTGAGTTCAGCATCAGCCAACTAATCAATTGTAGTCCATGCCTAACCACCTAGAAAAACCCCACCTCGCACTAGCATAATAAAGAGGAAAGAATGAAATCTAAATAAAATTATTCCATTAAGTCATTCCTGTCCATATTATTCTATTAAACATCTTTGACCTCCAGCCAAAAACGTTCAGCCACTGTGCTGTGAGAAAAGGACACAGCACAAGGGTGTAAGACAGCAAAACTGCAAAAGCAGAATTAATTTGGTTTACTAACCGTCCTTGGCTTTAATAGCTTGTTCCATGGACTGAACAACATCTTCAAGCAATGGCACTCCCATCCTGTAGTTTAACGCATTACCATAACCCTTTAATATGAACAGTCCCAAATCATCAGTCCACTCCAGCAAAGCAACCTAAAAATGTATATATTGGGCAAGTTAGTATATACTGTGCAAGAAACAAACCATGGTACTGGCAACAACATAATTTGCACAGGTTAGTGGACAGCCTACACAGAAACAGAGGGGACAATGGATTCCACAACAGGTAAATAAACAGCAAAGCTACGTACCTCAGATGGAGTGAACGAAGCACAAGCTCGGTCAGTTATATTCAATAAAGATGCTTCCTGACATATTTAAAATTCAAATGAACAGTTACAAAGGACGAAATCATATAGATTAGAATTATTTGTTTAGAATTTTGGAGAGAGACAAAAAGAAAAGAAAAGGCATGACAAATAATAATCACCTCTTTGCACAAAAACCAGAGAGAAGACGTATCTTGTCTAGTAAAATTCAGCTTGTAACGCCTCACTAATGCATGGGTAATTTCATCCAAGATAGGTTCCTTAAGCTTTTGAACAGCAGGCTCCTGACTTTTCCTAAAGGCCTGCATTTTCAGAGATCTAAGCAATAAAAAACAAAGAAGAATCCTGTGTTTTAAAATTCAGCTCATAATGCCTCATTAATGCAAAAGTAATTTCATCCAAGATAGGTTACTGATGAATGCCTAAAATTGCATAATTATGTTGATTAATATAGGAGATGTTGCATTCTTTTGATATTAATTCCTTCCAATTATATTAATTGTGTGCTAATGCTTGTATTTACATTGTAGGAAATCTTTTGGCAACTAAAGTGGAGTTCAAGAGATTTGGGGAGGAAGTTAGGAATCAATGGAATGGTGCTTAATTGGATGAAAGTTGAAACAACAATTAATGTGCAATTGTTTAGGTATGAGCTATGTTGATAGCAAGAAGGCCCAGACGTGTACCTTGTAGTTCTGACAACAATCATGGAATCTCAGCCATCTATCACTTGCACGGCTTTCACTGGTTACTGCAAAAGCTCGATGATGCCCGGGTCCAAGGTTTCCTCTCCCACTAAACAGACCCATACCAAATGCCACAGCACTAGCTGATGCCCGAGGAATCTATTCATAATTCATGGGAAAAGAAAAGATGTCTAACATTAATGAATTCCTACAGCAAGGAAAAACTTAAAAAAATATATATTTTCACAGTTAGTGTGATGCAACTGCCTTGTAACATAAATCTTGAGCCAAACAGCATTTTATGCTATAGAGGCAGTAGATGCAACAATTGGCACAAACCTCCAATATAAGTATCATCACGAAAGCAACGCAGCCAGCACTTTGCATAAGTGAATAAAAGGAAAAGTATGATGTGGCCAACCTGGGTTGCCTTTATTGCATAAATGTCTGGGTGGTAATCCTCATTAAACAGTTGTGAAAACTTTTCTCTGATTCTGATTGCAAGTTGATATAGTTCATCTTCTCCTTCACCAATTAATTCTCCACCCCTGAGCTTCCCTTTCCAAGGAGATTTCCAACCCCAAAACCAGGCAGGAACTTTTTGCAAATCCAACTTCTGCTCTTTTGCATCTTGCAGAAGTACTTCCAGACGAATGGCCAAATTGTCCAACTCTTTTATTCTTTTCTTGGTAGGAGCACGAGTTCCATGCCTTGCCTGGGATATACCAAAATTTCACTTATAAAAGTTAAACTTTTACCAAAATGAACAGGGCATTGCAAGCAGAAACTCAGCCAAATAACAGAAACTATAATGGCAAAAATGGAAGATTTCATAGGAACTTTCATAAAAAAATGCAAATGCAAGCAACAAGATGTTTTTGCAAATCGCATAAACACAAGGCACAAAAATTTTCAGCTTTCCTGTAAAGTTTGTGGCCAATTCTCAATTTCCAAGTGTCCAGAACATGTATGTACATATTTTAAATAGTGTATAGAGCATAGATCCTAGCTAAGAAGATGATTTTAGCAAATGACACATTTGACAGACAACCTGTTTGTGCTTTTGAATAGTAGCAAACATACAAGCTCCAACAGAACATAAAGTTTTCCTTTCAAATCAGGAAGACAAGGAAATATCTGTACTATATTAACATGTAAGGGAAACAAACTCTAGAGAAATTTGGGACTGTTAGTTTTTCTGGTGGCATTTTCCTTTTCTTTTCCCTAAATTTGTTCTGCCCTTTTTTGTCCTTTTTGAGGAATTCTGTATGTTCTTTGCATTAGTTTCTTTCTCTCTAATAGATTAATGGAAAAGAATCACCTTAGACACAGTTAAGGATGGTATGCTCCCTTTGGATTCTTTTTTAGGTATGTCATTCTCCCTTAGCTCAACGATATGAAACAAATTTAAAACCCTTACAATGCTATGTACAAACACAGCTCTTAAAGAAAGTGATCAAAGGTGAACAAACACAGAGAAATTAGAATGAGTCTCAGTGTATTAGGATTAGCTTACTTAGCTCTGCATTCATACGAAGAAATCTATAACTGAATGGTTCAGAGATCACAAAACTCTAGGATTAGCTTGCTTAGTTGTCTTCTGCAGATTCTTCACCAGATATTCCAAAACTCTAGATTATGCAGTTCTTGATAATCTCAATGATGCAAGACATAGTTCAATTCTAAGAAGCATGGAACAACTGAAGGACATGAATACAACGTGATATGGATATGATGACACGACAATTTTCAAAAATATCAGGACACACAACATAGTATGAACATGACAAATAATATATATTCCAATGACTATGTATAAAAATAATGACAACTCCAAAAATATCTAAATTATTATATCAAAATAATAAAAAATAATCGTCCACATTCTTTGTATTGGAAAAAAACTAAGAAGCACCGACTCTCCAAGATAGGTGTCATGTTTGTGTCCGACATGATGGGGACACGCATGTCCACGTGGCGTGTCAATTTTTTTAATTATTATTTTTTTCTAGGACACGCTGGCGGGCACTTCATGGACACACGTGTCCTACATTTGGACACACCTCATGATACATTTGTATGTTTTCTCTTTATTTTTTATAATTAAAAAAAAAAATTGATTTGGGATCAAAGTAAAATATATAGAAATAAAGAGGGAATAACTAGAAAAAAATAAAATACACCCACATATATATCGATGCCTCTCATATCTATGTATCCTAAATTTATATTCAAATAATAAACAAAAATATATGCTTTTGTTGTATCTCCACAGTGTCTATGTCCTAATTTTTTAATAATAGCTGTGTCCCATGTGTCCGTACCCATATCCAAATCCATATCTGTGCTCCTTAGGTAAAGAACTGTGGGGAGAAAAAAGAAGAAAAAACCTGGATCCTATGAATGCGCTTGTTTTCATCTTAATCATCAAATCCCAAGCTATTTTTTAAAACTTAACATGTCCTTCATATATGTCCAAGCCATGGACAGTTGTCCCCCAAGTATCAAAAATGTGTCTGGTTCTAAATTTTTTTAAAATAGTAGGACAAGTTTAGATGCATGTTCAACATGCATTGGGGAGTTTTCAACTTGGTGTCCAACACAGATAGTACATGTCATCTTCTTTGAAGTGTTTGCTAAGCTCAAGTATCTTCAAAGCATCAACCTCAACTAGAATTTGTTTGATGCACCCTCTGCTGTGAGCATTAACCAAAAGGCCTATGAATGAAAAATTTAAGACATCATGTAATTACCCACAACATAACTATCTGAGATCGCTACATTCTCAAAGCATCAAGCACATCAAAAGTTTGTTTAGTACACCCTCTGATGTCAACATCAGTATGCCCACAAAACTGCTACATTAAAATTTGTCCCAGACTATAAAATCTAATTTCTTATTGCTTCACATAATTTAATAAATGGTGTGCTAACTACTTTTCAATTGATCCAAAACACCTACTACACCTACCACCAATTTACCCTCACCTACTCCTCACCTACTACCCAAACTCTCTCCTATATAATGAGCCACTCTGATTTGTAATAGAACATATCAATAAATCAATCAATATCAATCAATAATACAGTATTTTTACAAATAAATGGTGTGCTAACTACTTTTCAATTGATCCAAATATACATAGAGAAAATATATGAACATATAAATTGATTTGCATTAGCGGTTTGAACTTGCAAGTGAGAATTACCACAAGATTTAAATGAATAGGAGTACATTGGTCTGCAATGTTAGAAGGTACAAACGAATTGTCAGATATGTCTTTCACAGCACCATACCTGCACATTGAAAAAAAAGACAAAAAAAAACAAAACAAAAGGAAAGGAAAGTGATCAATCAAGCAATTCCATTAATCAGAGAAAACAAATATATACTTGAGCAATGTTTTCTTCTAAAAACAACATGCCGGCTTCCCACAAGTTGAAGACAATAGCTGCTAGAAAACAAATACAACAAGGAAGAGATATTTTTCATTTTCTTTTGCTAAATAAAATAGAATGATTGAGTTAAATTGAAAATGATGAGGTTGTTTTTCTATTGAAAAACTTTGTTATTTGGGACCGAGAAAACAAAAGCCTCTACTCCACCAGATTCAACTTTCAAATTATTCATTTTGCTTTAGTAGTCAAACGAAAAATGTTAAATTTTGTTTCTCAAGCTTTCGGCAACCAGACAAAGGGTAAAAACTACAAGGTTATGCAAATAAGGTCAAAACTACAAGGCTATGCAGATTCGTACACACACATAATTATAATTATATTATATATATAAACACATAATATTACCCTATAATATCTGGCCTCGATTCATGGTTGTTAGAATTTTGCGATTTACAATTCAATAAGAGTTTCAACTAAAATGATTCAATTCGTGCTATTGAATCTTACATTAAGTGAATTGAACATTTCAACTATGATTTGCTAGTTTATTGCGATTTACTACAATTTGCTACGATTCAGTACAAGCTGCTTGTATAATATGTGAAAAAGAAAAAGGAAAAGAGAGATAGATCAACTAATTATATTGATATACATAGTTTTATATGCATTCACATATATGCAATTTAGTTATATTGGTTTTTTTTAAAAAAAAAAAAAACTCTCTGTGTATTTTTATATGTATAGACAAATATAAAATTATGTATTAGGCTAAAAAAGTGAATCTTATGATTCACTATATTAAGAAAACGATTTATGATTCGATTCACGATTTGACAACAATGCTTCTATCTATGAAATTTTGTTTCTCAAACTCTCAATAACCAGGCTGACAGTAAAACTACAAGGTCATGTAATTACATACAAACATTGTTACATCAATACTATATTATATTATATAAAGCTAACAACTCAATTTGGTGTGAACAACAAAGTGAAAACGTGAAACCCCTTTTTGAATTCCAAAATTATCCAACAAAAATTTACCAGTTGAAAAAACTTTTGTTAGTCTTAACTGCCAAGGAAAAATTGCAAAATCCACACATTCAAAATCATTCAGCTACTTAATCTATCAGGATTCCCAACCCCACCTAATGATTGCATTTCCTCCCTTGGTGTCTTGGTGACAATCCAAGTCATAGGTTGTGTTACATGGACTCTTCTATTTCCCCAAAAGTACCTGTGTCTACTAGATATGACAAGGGTAAGGGTGTGGGATATGTGTCCGACACCTGTAGACACTAGGATCTTCTAATTTGTTACAATATAAGAAGAAGAAACTCACATTTTCTAGTTAAGCAATATTATGTATTAGAGATAGAAATTTTCAAAATTTTCTTGTATCCTATTTAATTTCTAGTATAATTCTACATAATTTACAACATCTCATCAGAGAATATTACATAATATGCAATATATATGTATATATGACGTGTCTCCATACCCATATCCAATTTTGGATATGTATCCAAGATCCTAATATTTAAGTTTATGAAGGTCTCACACTTGGATACATACCCACACCCAACACTCTGTACCCGAGTCCATGTAACATAGCTCACATGTTGTTTTCTCCCTCTCTGGTGTATTGTACATATATGGGTGTGTTTGATTTCATGTTTAGCATCATTTTCCCCCCCCCCCCCCCTTCTCTCTCTCTCTGGCAATAGTCTATTCTCTATTCCTTTGGGCACCAAGAATTAAAGTAACCATTTTATGATTTTAATTTGAAGTTTTGGTTTCAATTGTCAAATTTGAGGTAATTGTGTGTACCACAACTTAGTATGTATATAAATATATCTTAATAGTTACAGTTACTCTTATTTACTAGACTAATTACAATATGATCATTCTTGAAAGGAAATAAAAAATAAAAAAATGACAAATTCAAAATTGTTCAAAATTGTGTGTTTTATAAAATACAATGGATAGCAATTGATAGAATAGATATATACACACAGCAACACAGTCTCAGAGATATGGTTTATGATCCATTAAATTGCTTCCGAGACCAAGCCCTAAAACTTGATTTGAATGTTGGATTATGGAGAAGACAATTAAGAGAGAGAAAACCTCGTCACAGTAGAGAGATGTTGACGAACGTCGAAAGGTTGTTCTTGGGAGTTTGAGTTTACTAACACTGCAGATAAGAATAGTAACAGAACAGCTTCCATGGCCTCCTTTTCCATTCTCTCTCTCTCTCTCTCTAAGATGGTGATGGTGGGGATTCGAATTCGAAGAACACTGAAAAAGAAGGAGGGGGGGAATTTTTCAGGGGAATTTTTCAGTTTACATAGGCGCTGTTTGGGAAGTTAGGTTCACTATTTTATTATTTTAGGCCTAGTTTATTTTAGTAATTTTTTAATTTTTTAATTTTTTATAAAAAAATAGAAAGAGTTTACTATTTCATTATTTTAGGTTCGAAATAGGTTATTTTAATAATTTTTTAATTTTTTATAAAAAGATATACAAAAAAATAGAAAGAATAATGTGATAATTTATAGTGACTGTTTAACTTTTTTTTTAATTAAAATGTATAATTAATAAATAAAACCTTAAACGGGTTTAAATAGTTATATTTGAAAAGTTAGTTGACTTTTTTTAGTTGATTTGATAATTATGAGAGAAAAATTAAAATAATTATAAATTAGATGTAATATTTTATCTTATTAATTATTTTAATCTATTTTGTCTTTTAATAAATTATTTTAGCTCAATCGTATGGGGCTTTTCCTAAAATAAGGTAAAATAGCAACTTATTTCCCAAACTAGGTCTAGTTTGGACGAAATTTCTAAAAAAAGTTAAAACGTTATTACAAATCACGTAAAACGTGATTACAAATCACGCTTTTAAAAAAATCTATTTAGCGTGATTAGAAACCACATTTTTAAATAAAATTATTTTATAACCAAAATATAAGACAAGTAGGGAGATAGCTTAAATGATAGTGTCCTCCTTTCCCATGGGGTTCAATACCTCACATCTCAAAACTATTGTTCCTTTCAAATTCAATTCAGCCTCCGTTTGGAAAGTGGGTTGGCTTTTTGGCTTTTTGGCTTTTTGGCTTTTTTGGCTATTTTAGCCTGGGCTAAAAAGCTTGGTTTGGGAAGGGCTTTTTGGCTTTTTGGTCCGAACCGCTCAAACCGCCCAACCCGCATATAAATGGGCGATTTCACAAATATAATGCGGGCGGATGCGGTTTGAAATATGACAAATTTGCGGGTTGCGAACGAGTAGCGAGTTAAACTCGCAACCCGCAAAAATCGCCTACACTTTAATTATTATTATTATTTTTTATATACCAACTTTGTAACTTTAACAGGAGCATCATTATGTTCTCTATGACACTAGAATCCTTATTTTTAAGTATTTCTCAACTTTTTTAATGCCGTAGAATTATCAAATTCCAAACTTGATTTCTTATATGATTTTCATTGGTGACTCATCCACTTTTTCCTAATGAAATTTTCCTTCTGGTGGTCGATGGAGCTTCTAATTTGATTATTGATTACTGAACTGACAATTCTAATTGAGTACAACCTTTAATTCATTGATATACATTTTTTAGTGCATTGATATACATTTTTTTCATGGCAAAAATGCTAGTGTAGGGTCTCTTTGTTTTGGGTACTTTCATTTAATGCATTGATATTTAATTTTTATTTGTAAACTCATCAGAAAATTGTTGTCAAATGATCACAAATATATAAAATGAATCTGATGCTTAAATTCAATGGGAAAAAAAAAACTCAAAAATTAATTTTTAAAGAAAAAAGTGTAAGCCGCAAACCGCCCACAACCGCCCGCACATTTGCAAACCCTATCCACACAAACCGTAAACCGCACTGCAGGCATTTGCGAGTTGACTTTTTTTCAAACTGCATAGATGCGGGCGGGTCAAAATCGAATCGCAAACCACACAAAACCGATCCACAAGCACCCCTAGTAATGTGATAATTTGTAATGACTTTTTAACTTTTTTTTTAATTAAAATGTATAATTAATAAATAAAACCTTAAAACGGGTTTAAATAGTTATATTTGAAAAGTTAGTTGACTTTTTTTAGTTGATTTGATAATTATGAGAGAAAAATTAAAATAATTATAAATTAGATGTAATATTTTGTCTTATTAATTATTTTAATCTATTTTGTCTTTTAATAAATTATTTTAGCTCAATCCTATGGGGCTTTTTCCAAAATAAGCTAAAATAGCAACCTATTTTCCAAACTAGGCCTAGTTTGGACGGAATTTACAAAATAAGTTAAAACGTTATTACAAATCACGTTTAGCGTGGTTAGAAACCACGCTTTTAAATGAAATTGTTTTGTAACCAAAATGTAAGATAAGTAGGGAGGTAGCTCAAATGGTAGTGTGCTCCTTTCCATCCCTCACATCTCCAAACTCTTTTACTTTGTTCAAATTCAATTCAATTTTTTTTTTCCCCTTCCACTTACTCTATACTTTATATATTTATTATGCAATTTTTTTTATCAAAAAACATTTGTTTGGTTAACTAATATTTATAATAAAAATTATATTTAAAATAAATATTTTTGTTATTTTAAATGTTTTATTTTATTTTATTTTATTTTATAAATATTTTAATATTTTTTTTACTTTTTTTAAATATTTATTTATTTATTTAATTTTAAAAAATTTGAATCTCCATATATGTCTAAATCATAACAAATTATTTGGCCAACACTTAAAAAAATAAAAAATATTTTTTTAAAAAAAATAATAATTTTAAAGAACAAAATAAAAAAGATTTTTTTGAATTTTTTTAAATACAATTTTGAAAAGAGTTTAGTTATGAATTTAGAAAAGAATTTTTGAATTAAATTTTGAGCTATGTGTTTGGTTATGAGTTTTGAAAATAGTTTTTGAATTGAATTTTGAGTTATATGTTTGGTTATGATATGAGTGTGGAAATGTGTTTTGAGTTTAAAATATTAAAATTAAAAAAATTAAAATATTTACAAAATAAAATAAAATATTTAAAATAAAAAATTATATATTTAAAATAAAATAAAAATTCTTAAACATTTTTTAATATTTTTAAAAAAAATAAATCCAAAAATGTTGTTTCAAACATTTTTCATGTCTTCCAAACATGTCCTCCAATCTAAAAATATTTTTTAATATTTTAATAATGCGGACAAATTGGCTATAATTTATATTGATGAGATTATTGGATTGCATGGAGTGCCAGTATCTATTGTTTCTGACAGGGATTCGAAGTTTACCTCGAGATTTTGGCAAAGTCTGCAAACTGCATTGGGTACTGAACTGAGACTGAGTAGTGCATATCACCCTCAGACAGATGGCCAGTCAGAAAGAACCATCTAGACTCTAGAAGATTTACTACGGATGTGTGTTCTTGATTTCCAGGGAAATTGGGAAAGTCATCTACCTTTAGCTGAATTTGTCTATAATAACAGCTTTCACTCGAGTATTGGTATGGCGCCTTTCGAGGCCTTATATGGCAGGAAACGTCGATCTCCTATCTGCTGGGCAGAAATTGGAGATGGGCCCTTGCTTGGGCCCGAGATTGTACAGGAAACCACCGAAAAAGTGAAACTGATTCAACAGAGATTGAAAACCACACAAAGCCAACAGAAAAGTTATGCAGATGTCCGAAGGCGAGACATGGAATATGAAGTAGGTGATCATGTTTTTGTTAAAGTGACACCAATGAAAGGGCAAACTCGTTTTGGAGTCAAGGGTAAGCTAGCGCCGAGATATGTCGGGCCGTATGAAATCATTGAGAAGATTAATCCAGTGGCGTATCAAGTAGCGCTTCCTCCTGAAATGGATCATATGCATAATGTCTTCCATATTTCAATATTGAGGGATTATCTTCGGGATCCCTTCCATGTGATTGAGCCTACCCGTGTAGTGCTAAATGATGACTACACTTATGAAGAACGGCCTATTCAGGTCGTAAATCGACGAATCAAGAAGTTGAGGAATAAAGAAATCCCGTGAGTGAAAGTGGACTGGCAAAACCATGGTGGCGTGTATCCCACTTGGGAAAGAGAAGATGATATGATGAAACGGTACCCTGAACTGTTCCCTCTGGATCTAGTATTCTTCCAAAATGAAGGTAATTCGAGTTTGGGGGACCAAACTCTTTTAAGAGGAGAAGACTGTGACAACCCTCACCTCTGATTACTGCTAAACTGTGACTGAGCATGATAAGTAATTGATCAGACTGAAATTCAGAATTTATTGCATAAGTGTGTTATCTTAATTGCATTCTATCTGTTTATCGTAGATTGATCTGTTCGTGTTTTTAATTTCGAATTGCGAATTAAAGGCCTTATCGGCGACCGAATCAGAAATTGATTAGTGTTATGTATTAATTAGAATTTATGTGATTTTATGGTAGGTTTAATTGAAATATGATTTGGTATGATTAAATTAGATTAAATAAAGTTAAAATACATCAACTCCAATTAATTGCATTTTTGCCACTTAGTGGACCACTTTAGAAGCATTGTAGAAGTGTAACTCGTACCAATTGATGAATCTTTACTTCAGCCACTTCCTAGACCAAAAACGTGAGAGAGAGCTAGAGAGTTGGAAGAAAAATTGAGTTCACCTAGATTGGTTTGAAACTTAGAAGATTTGGAAGAGAATTGCACATTTGAGCTATCATACATTGAATTCAAGACCTAAGGTAGAGATTCCATCATCTCATTTGTGAATTTGAGTTGTATATTGCATGGTTCATGGTAATTTAGAGTTTAAAGTCAATAATTGGTTTAAAGAGTTGAATTTGAGAGTGAATTCATGTATGCATGTACACATTCTTGAGTTTTGAGATCTTTTCCATGAAATTTGCTACATGCATGTTCATATTTTGATTATAGTTCAAGAATTTATCATGTTTTTGGAAGGATTGAGTTATTTGACCATGTATTTGAAGTTTTGAATTTAATTGAATACATGCATGTTGTGTTTGAGCTTTGTTCTTGAAGTTTATTTGAAAATGGTGTTCAATTGACTCATCATTGGGCTTTGATTTCTCAAATTGATCTTCAAAACATGTTATATTATGGGTTTAAAGTGTTTTTCCAGAAAAATGGCCCAAATGATCGAACTTGAGGCTTTTAAAGTTGAGTTTTGTGCTTGGAGATGAATCTGGAAATTCCAGATTTTGGACCCACGCTCGAGCGTAGGACTTCACGCTCGAGCGTACCCTCTGAGTCGTACACTTCTGCTCAAGCGTGGAAAGTTGCGCTCGAGCATGAAATGCATATACCCAGAAGTTCT